TTTTTCCCATATCTAATGAATGCAGTATGCAAAATGCTGCATAAGTAGGTTACGTTAAGGAAGTATTTCCCAACCAGGAAGGCTGGGAAGCATTTACTAACAAATGGAAATTTTAGAAACTCTTTTTCTGAGCAGTTTAGAGTACACATGCACAGATCTGTTTTGATCTGAAGGCACTGACATGAATTGAAGAGACCTCTGATGGGCACTTAGCCTTGGGATCCTAAGACCAGATTCATTTCATAGCACAGCCAGGGAGGTGAGATCAGACATGGAAATGCATTTCAGCAATGCTTGCCAAAAAATGTCAAGATACAAGAAAAACCTGCTTTTCTAGTTGGTCACATTTTATTTTCTTCGCATTGAGAAAATTTTTCTAAAAGCAGAGCCCATTTGTGTAGCATTTCTTTATGTACTCATTTGGAGAGACCCCATAGGCCCCACAGTCACGCTGGCTGTAATCTTTACAGAAACCAGTCCTCAGGCCTGGACCTACTGCGGTGCTGCTGGGATGTTCAGACTGGCCATGTTTAGGTTACTAGGTGAGTGCAGACCATCTGTGCCACCCAGGGACTTTTCAAATTGAGTGTGTTTACATTTGTCTTGCTTTGCCTAAAAGTTGATGCTGCAGAGGGCCCTAAGGACTGGCTCAATCCAAGTGCAAACCCACACAGCTGCTCTTCCACCATCATTCTCCTCATATGGACAGAGCTGTAAATTAACACTGAAGCGAGGGGATCTCTGCATGTGCAGTGCAGTCAAAGTTTGTAAAAACAGCCTAGCAGGCCTGCTTCATGTTTCATCAACAGGCATGCATTTCCAAATTATTAGCAGAATTACCTTCTCTCGAATGGACTCTCCTGGAACCAGCTGAGGCTCCATGGTGATGAACAGGGTGATGTAGGAGCCTTTACTTAGGCTTCGCACAGAATTGAAACCTCGCTCAATAATCATGTTCCGTTCCTTACTGTAGCCCAGAAGAACAGGGGGGATATCGATTTTAAATGTTCCATCAATCTGTGAAGAAAATATGACTTAGTAAACATGCTGGAGATTTTTCAACAGAAGTTCAAGGGCAGTGTCAACTCTCTATTATCTGTTGAATTAAAAACAAAACAAAACAAAAAAACCACAGCAAATCTGCTCACACTGGCATTCAAGGCCAACACATTCTTTCTAGCTTTGTTTTTCTAAACTCTTGCCAGAAAAGGCTATTTCCCTGCCTTTCTTTCCTTTTTCACCATTGGGTTTCCAAGGATGTAAATGTTTACTGAAGTAGATTGCCTCATTTTCTTCCTGCTGAGCAGCTGGTGGGTTTGAACCACTGACCTCCTGGATAGTAGCCAAATACCTTACCCACTATACCATCAGAGCTGCTAAAACAGAGATAATAATAGTACTTCATCTGCAGAGTAGTTATGAATAATGAATGAGTTAACAGATGTAAGACTTTAATAAAAATGTCTGGCCTGTGGTAAATCCTCAATAAATGCTGGCTAGCAGCTTTTCCCTTTTTCTGCAACGCCCTAGCTTCCCATCTCTACTTGTCAGAATTTCACTCATCCTTTAAGGCTAAGGTCAAATGCTATCTCCTTCATGAATTATTTAATTATCTTTACCACCTTCACCAGTGGAAGGTAGGTGTTTGTGTGTGTGGAACACCCCGGGGGCAGGCTGGGTAGGCTAGCAGGGCAGGGCCACCAGGAAATGAGTGGAGGAGTTGGGAATAGCTAAGGAAAACAAACTTGTCTGTCAGTTTGTCAAACTGTGGTGGCTTGAATGTTGCTGTGAGGCTGGAGTCTATGCCACCGATGTTTCAAATGCCAGCAGCGTTACCCATGGTGGACAGGTTTAGGCAGAGCTTCCAGACTAAGACAGACTCGGAAGAAGGAAGAGGCCATCCACTTCTCAAAGAATTGGCCAGTGAAAACCTTATGAATAGCAGTGAAACACTGTCTGATATATTATGGGAAAACTTTATGAATAACCCTGAAACATTGTCCAATATAGTGCCAAAAGATGAACCCCTCAGTTCGGAAGGCACTATAAATACGACTGGAGAAGAGCTGCCTCCTCAGAGTGGAGCTGACCTTAATAATGTGGATAGAGGAAAGCTTTTGGGTCCTCCATTTGCTGATGTGGCACATCTCAAGATGAGAAGAAACAGCTGAAAACATCCATTAACAATTGGAACATAGAATGTACGAAGTATGAATCTAGGATTTTTTAAAAGTTGTCAAAAATGAAATGGAATGCATAAAGATCATTATTCTAGGCATTAGTGAGCTGAATTGGACTAGTTTTGGCCATTTTGAATCAGACAATCATTAATCTACTATATTGGGAATGAAAAATTGAAGAAGGGTGTGGCATTCGTCATCGCAAAGAAGATATCAAGATCTATCCTAAAGTACAATGCTGTGAGTGACAGGATAATATCCATATGCCTACGAGGAAGAATAATTAATAGTACTATTATTCAAATTTATGCATTAACCACCAAAGCCAAAGATGAGAAAGATTTTTACGAACTTCTGCAGTCTGAAATTGACTGAACATGCAGTCAAGATGTGTTGATTATCACTGGTGATAGGAATGCAAAGGTTGGAAACAAAGAATAATCACTGGTAGTTGGAAAATATGGCCTTGGTGATAGAAATAATATTGGAGATCACATGATAGAATTATGCAAGACCAATGACTTATTCATCACAAATACCTTTTTTTCAACAACCCAAATGACTGCTGTACATGTGGACTTCACCAGATGGAGTACACAGCAATCAGATTGACTACATTTGTGTCAAGAGGCTATGGAGAAACTCAGTATCTTCAGCCAAAACAAGACCAGGAGCTGACTGTGGAATGGACCATCAACTGTTCATATGCAAGTTGAAGTTGAAGACAATTAAAACAAGTCCATGAGAGCCAAAAT